CCCATCGATGGGTACAAGCTTCCCATCGCTGGGTGGGAGGTTGACTTCCAAACAAGGAAAGAATCAACCTTAAATGACTTCCAACGGTCATGCCTTCCCATCGATGGTTTAGCCTTCCCATCGCTGGGTTCCCATCGATGGGTAAAGCTTCCCATCGCTGGGTAAGGGCATTCTGCCTTGTGATAATGTTGGACCAAGGCTTGAACAGCGATGGGTAGAGCTTCCCATCGCTGTTTGGCATGGTTCTGGAAGTTGGTTTGGCTAAGGGGCTACTTACCCATCGATGGGATGTTCTTCCCATCGCTGGGTGGGTGGTTAGCCAAAAGCTGTGGTTTTTGCCTTAACCACGGCCTAGCCAACCGATGCAAAAACCGACCGAAAAATCCAAGGTTCTCCAAAATAAAAACAAAGTGTTTAAAACACTTATTTGATGTATTTGGCTAAGAAATCAAGTGAGACACTTTAAAAATCACTTCATTTGATTAAAAACCACGGCTAGCCAAGTTTACGCCGTTTTGCATGGTTTTTGTCAAACGACTAAAAACGAGAGATGGTTTTCAAAGTGTTTTTGTTGGAGAACCGTTTAAACATGCCAAAGAGTGAAAGCAGATCATAAAGTGCTGAAAACCACTTGGTTGGTTTGGATGCCAAAAACCAAACCCGACAACCGAAAGCCGAACGCTGGTTTCTGAAAGCCGACACTGGATGGCTTGGTTTTTGGTTTGGGCGAACACCAAGTGTTTTTAATGACTTAAACAAGTTTAAAAACATTTTTATGATGTACGAAATGCAATGAGAGATTTTAGCCTAAAGAGCCAAGGTGTAAAGATTGGGTCGGTCTTCATCACAATAAAGACCGACTCAATACTATGATTAAGGTCTTCGTTCTTGGTATTCGTTTAGCTCTTGCTCTAATCTTCGTTCTTCGCCTTGTATATTCAATGTTCGACTTGATCACGGTGGTTTGGCATTATCAAAACCTGTTACAAAAACGAACACGGCTTTAGTACGAAAACGTGACAAGCCCGTGTTTCAACAGCCAAACCGCCGTGAACGAGACAAGTTGTTGAATATACAAGGCGAGAAATAAGTATAAGAAGAAAGCAAGAGAACAAGAGCTAAAAGAGACCAAGAACGAAGACCGTAGTCTTAGGCGTCGTTGAGTCGGTCACAATGTGATCAAGACCGACCCAAGCTTTGCACTTTGGCTCTTTAGGCTAAAACATTTTTTATTGCATTTTACATATCATCAAAATTATTTTCAAACATGCTCAAACATATTAAAAACACTTGGTGTTCGCCCTAACCAAAAACCAAGCCATCTGGGGTTTGGCTTTCGGAAACCGGCGTTCGGTTTTCAGAAACCGGCATTTGGCATTCGGTTATCGGCGTTGGTTTTTGGCGTCCGAACCAACCAAGTGGTTTTCAACTTTTTATGATTGGTTTTTATTTTTGGGAACATTTAAATAGTTTTCCATCAAAAACACTTCAAAAACCACCTTTCCTTTTTTGTCGTTGGATAAAAACCATGCGAAATGGCATAAACTTAGCTAGCCGTGGTTTTTACTTAAATGAAGTGATTTTCAAGTATTTTGTGTAGGAATTGTTTTTATATGCATTTAAATGGTTCTCCAATCAAAACATCATGAAAACCACCTTTCAGTTTTGTCTTTTGGTAAAAACCACCCGTGTACGGCGTTGACTTGGTCAACCGTGGTTTTTACCTTAACGACGTGGTTTTCAACTTAAAAAGCTTGTTTTGACATCATAATACATTAAATAAGTGTTTTATATACTTAGTTTTTACTTTGGAGAACTTTGCATTTTTCGGTCGGGTTTTAGTGCCGGTCAGCTAAGCCATGGTTCTGGGCTAGCCATCTACCCAGCGATGGTAGATATCACCCATGCATGGGTAAGTGATCCCGGGATTCCAGAATCACTCTACCCAGCGATGGGAGATATTACCCAGCGATGGGTAAGCAGCCTTCAGCCCAGCTCATTTCCAGAACCATGCCAAACAGCGATGGGAAGTTCTACCCATCGCTGTTTAAGCCTTGGTCCAACATTTTCGCAAGGCAGAATGCCCTTACCCAGCGATGGGAACCTTTACCCATCGATGGGAACCCAGCGATGGGAGGGCATACCCATGGTTGGTTAGGCATGACCGTTGTGAGTCATTTAAGGCTGATTCTTTCCTTGTTTGAAAGTCAACCTCCCACCCAGCGATGGGAAGCATTTACCCATCGATGGGTAGGTGACCGTTGGCTTCAAAACTGAAGGAAAATTGGCTTACCAGCGATGGGTGAGTCTAAACATCGATGGGAAGCCAATATCCTGCAGATCCCAAATTTATTCAATCCCATAAATCAAGCCAATCACCCCTTTAATGTATTGGTCCGTTGGAGCCTATTTTGGCACTATAAATAGGGGTGTTTGTTGGAATGCATGTGTTCAACCCTTTCTGTGTTGTTTAGTGTTGACTCAAAGGTTTTGATAATTGACAAACACAATTTATTCAAGTCAAGATTAAAGTGCTACAACGACAATCACGAAGACTTGAAGTGTCATTCCTTGAAGTATTCAAGAAGGTGCACAGAATTTTGTTGAAGTCCGAGACGCGTCCGGAGCGCCTAACGGAGGACCCGGAGGAAGGGAGGTTCTCCGAAGACTTTTTATTTATTTGAGTCTTAGGAATTATTGTAAGGATGACAAAAATATCTTCTCTCCAAAATTATTTTTATGAGAGTCAAAATAAAAATTATATTTATTTTTGGAGTCAGTTGAAAAATCCTTTTAACTGTTCAAAATAGTTTTATTGAGTCAGTTACAAAAAGTGTGTCAAACATTTATCAAATATTTATTTTGATATTATAAAATATTTTCGGTAAGCAAAAATATTTTATTCAAATATTTTTCGTGTACATCGTTTGACACACAAAATAATTTTTGGACTCACTTTTACTCCCTTATTCGAATTCATTGAATAAGAGGAGCGTTCTCTGATTCCCGTTGTCTCAAACAACGAGTGTTACGCCAATTCTGCTCTCCATCGCAACTGGCCTTGGGCCCTTTGTGTTTGCGAAAGATTTCTTCTTTTAATCGATTATACTTCTTTATTTAATCGATTATTGTTCAGCACATTTAATGAATCGATTTTTCCTCCTTGTTTAATCGATTAGCTCCTTGTTGCGTTGGATTGATTAGGTCTTGTGTCTAATCGATTTTTCCTTTCCCTTTAATCGATTAGTTCACACAGACCCTTCTAATCGATTAATCCCTTTAATTTAATCGATTTTCCTTCAGCTGCATTGATCGTTGCTGATGATGCATTAATCGATTATTGGTGATGCATTAATCGATTATTATGCTGCATCTTTTCTGCACAGCTTCTTTTCTTGGACCAACGGATATATTTCTTCACCTCCTATTTAAGCATCCTT